TGAGACTGCAGAGCAGGAGACTGCAGGCGATGCTGAGCACAAGAGCAGCAAGAAGCATGGAGGCAAGGGCAAGTTGCAGAAGAAGGCCTCCAAGAAAAGCTTGGAGAAGGAGAAGAAAAAGAAAGCTTTGAAGAAGGCTCTGAAGCAGTTGGAGGAAGACACAGAAGTTGCAGGGGCTGCCCCCGCCTCAGCCCCTGCTGCAGCCCCAGCAGCAGCCCCGGCAGCAGGAGAGGAGAAGCAGCGAGTGCAGGTTTGCTCCGAGCTTGCAGGCAGGCCGTACTACGGCAGGATGGGTGTAGTCGCCATGCAGGCTTGGAAAAGCGGTGCAGAGACACTGCATGTCGACTTGCAGCCTGGAGTGCAGAGCTTCAGGAGAGAATTCTTGCAGGTGCCGAGCCTGTTGCCAGCTCTGAAGATGAAGACTATGCAGAGTCTCTCCCGTGCAGAGAAGCAGAAGCTGCTCCGTGAAGCGGCTTTGAAGACTCTTGGAGATAATCTTGGAGATGACGTGCAGATTCCGCTTGCAGATGGCAGTTGGCTCTTGGACCAGCACATGTCTGCAGGCTGGCAGTACCTGCAGTGGAGCCTGCCAGGCCTGGAGAAAGCAGAGATCACCTGCATTCGTGCAGATGTTGTGCAGGCTTTCACAGCACTTGCAGACCCGACGACCGAGCTGCAGGGCTTGGGAGATGCAGAGTGGCTGCTGTGTGCGAGCCAGATGCAGGAGCAGAGGACGGCCTTCCTGCAGCAAGAGCTGCAGAAGGACTTGATCTTCGTGCCGATCTATGCAGGGAGCCACTGGACCTTGCTGGAAATCTGCAGATATGGAGGCCTGCAGGTGAGATACTACGACTCACTGCAGCAGGAGGCTGCAGGAAACAGACGTGTTGCAGAGTTCTTTCTGGACCATTTTCTGCAGCTGCCACTACCAGCAAGATGCAATGCAGCAAGACAGCCTGTAGGGACAGGGCAGTGTGGCTCGTACTGCCTGCAGTGGATGGAGACGGCATGCAGGCAGGCTCTTGGGGACTGTCACAGCCTGCAGTGGCCCTCAGCAGTGGCCTGGGCTGGAAGGCTGCAGACTCTGTGCAAAGCACTGCAGAAGGAGCAGTCGACGATCCTGGACATGAAGATCAAGGCTGCAGAGAAAAAAGCACTCCTTGAAGTCAACCAGAAGAAAGCTGCAGCGAGCAAGAAGAAGGGTGAAGAGGACATGAAGAGCCTTTCGAAGAAGGCTCTGGAAGACCTGCTGAA